GGTTTAAAGAAAAAAACTGGAGCCGTTGTTGAGGAAATCTTGTTTTCGTTATTTTTAAAATTGCTCATATTGCACTCAATATTGGGCGAAAACTGCTAAAATTTTCAAACAAATGTAAATAATCACAATGAAAGAACTGACAATGGAGAACAGGTTTTATTTGAAGGAAAAATGACTATCTTCAATTTTGCAGTTGCAGGAAGACGAAACAAAAAATCAGTTTGGCAATTTTTGAAAATTCAGAGTTAACCGTGAAAATATGACCTATGCCATAAGTGTATTTTACTCTATTCTTACAAGAAATGTAAAGAAAAAAATTGAAGCCGTTTATGAAACAATTTTGAAAATTAAAATTATTATCACGTAAAGCCACAATTATGAAAAAAGTTTATCTAAATCGCAGAGCCTTAAGTGGAACCAGATCGACCGAATTTATTTTGGAAAACATTGTACGTATGGCTTAGGCACTAGTGGTGTTCACAGACTGACAGACGTTTTACTATGAATTTGTTTTTCGGTATCAAAACAGTGATACTGGCTACATCACGCGTTGGAGGATTTTTTTTATTTTAATTTAGCAACTGTGTTTATCCACATTTTCGTTTTCCGAAAATAATTTTTTTCTGCTGAAAATCCACCGCTTTTTGCGCAGCATTACATACATTTTCCTATTCTACTTATATTACTCCATATATACGTAAGTATACGGGAAAATAAACATTAAATTACCAAAGTTTAACGAGTAATTTTAGGGTATTGAATAAGCTGGTTTTGATTTTTCAACGGCAAATACAAACCAATTCAAAATGACAGGCGGAAGTCAGTGACCAAGGAGCCAATAGGATAAAGGTGGAGGACACATGAGTGTAAATTCCCCACGGTAACGGACAGGGGCATGTGTCCGTTCGTCCCAGCAAGAGATGATGCAACTCTTCATACTTGGATGCCACAACGGCTGCCTACCGTATTTAAACCGCAGGCGCAAGCAGACGGCGGAAATGAAATTGCAAAGTGTTAGGTCCAAAATAGCATATGGGGATACTGTTTTATTTTATGCAGCCCACAGAAAGCTATGTAAATGTTGCAGGAAAAGTGATGTCGAAGTTTTGACTATTTGGTGAGTAAATGACACGGATAATGATTTTACGTCTCCCTAAAAAAACTTGACAACACTGTCTTCTAAATCATGTGCATGATTTACACTAAAATGAATTCATCGATTAATTTCGATGAATTCGAACGTGAAACAAATATTTTCATTTTTGGTGGGTACTTTACATGCATTTTTTAGGAAATTTTCTCAAAAGTGACCACAATTTTTTTCGAAAAATTTTGCAAGCCAATGGAGAAAAACGTACTGACGAAAATGCTGTACGTTCCATTTCCGTAATTTCTTCCGTATCGCCCTCTTTAAATATGTTATTAATGTTTTAGATTTTTTCTTGATTGTTTTCTTCAAATAATAGAATGTATTTTTTTTTCATTTTGATGTAGGCTTCTGATCTTTAAATAACGCCATGTACATATTTTCAATCAGAGTGTTTTTTTTTATCTTGAGTCGACTCAATCTTGAAAACTAAGAATTGCATCAATAATTGTTTCGAATAAAATTTGTCTCAGAGGGGCCTATTGGATGATAGTAATATCGACTTGCCACCTTCACCCCCTGGGGGTTGGGGGTGGGACAACTTGCAAATTTCAAATGGGAAGCCCTATTTTTTATAGCGGATTCGGATTTTCTGCAAAAGGATACATAGATTTTGTGTGAAACATTTTCTTCCAGTAGATGGCGCTGTAATCGTAGAAAACACAATTTTTCGCAATTCTGGTGAAATTGCACCAGGGGGTGAAATAACATGATGGTTTTTTTATGAATCTCGTGTAGTATTGGTAAGAGTGAGCACCCCTAATCTCTGATAGAGCGGGGGGGGGTAAATTTTAAATTTCAAATGGAACAAATTTCAAATTTCTATAACATCGTGGTTGCTTGTAATCATCAATGGGGTGCTTGTTTTGGTGAGTCCCCTTACCTCTCACCGTCGGAGTGCTTGATTTGAATAAGAATTTCAACAAGGGCTCAAAAACTTGGCAACCTACTTCTATGCATTTATTTATCCGCACTTGGAAAGATTGAACACAACTAAGAAGTTTTTGGGGAGGAATCTTACGACATGCAGCGGTGATTTGCTCAATCACGTTCTCGCGTATTGTTTGCAGTTCATTATAAACTTTACCCTTCAAGTGATCCCACAAATAAAACTCAGGCGAGGTAAGATCTGGTGATCTGGCAGGCCAAGCTACTGTACCACCTTTTCCGATCCACCGGCGAGGGTACACGCGATCTAATACTTCTCGTGCTTCTCGATAATAATGAGCTGGACAACCATCATGTTGAAACCACATTGTCGCGCGTTAAGGGGGAGGTTTGCAAGCAATAACGGAAGTTCGTTCTCCAAGAAGTTTCGATATTTTTCACCATTCATATTGCCGTCGATGAAATACGGGCCGATGAGTTTGTCGGCAATTATGCCACACCAAACATTCACGTTCCAAGGGCGCTGATTTTCAACTTGACGTACCCATTGTGGGTTTTCGGTACTCCAATAATGCATGTTGTGTCGAATTGCACCGTGATTCGTGAAAGTTGACTCCTCAGAGAACAATACTCTCGCAAAGAATTTAGGATCCCTTTGTATTTGCAGAAGCGCCCATTGACAGAACGTTATTCGATTCTGAAAATCGTCGCCATGAAGATCTTGATGCAAGGAAACATGAAAAGGATGATACTTATTGGTATTCAATATTTTCAAACAGTAGTCTGACTAATTCCCGCACCATGACTTATTTGTCGGGTACTGATGTGGGGATTATGGGCAACTGCAGCTAGTACCGCAATTTCATTCTGTTCCCCAGCAACTCTTCTTCGGCGGTTCCTTTTTTTCTGGACAATTCCCTTGGTAGAGAACTGTTGAACAACCCGGTGAAATGAAGCGCCGGGATCATACCCCGTCTGGAAAACGTTGAGCATAAAAAGTAACAGCATCATCAAGATTCCTGCCACTTTCTCCATAAATTAACAACACTTCAATTTTCTTTTGCAACGTTATAGCCGCCATCGTAACCAGTACAGCATTCAATAAAAATTACTAAGAAATGGAGGAACCTGACTCAAAAGTGACGATGCGCACCGACTGAAAGTAGACCAAAAACTGAGGTAACCTAATTCAAAAAGGCAAGGACGGTGCGTGGCGAATGGAAGCGGACTAAAAACTAAAAATAAAAAAATAATGATGTGCTCCCAATCGTTGTACACCAGGGACTGAAGAACGATGTGCATCCAATGAAAGCAGACCATAAACTGAGAGCCGAAGTGCACGCAATGGAAGCAGACTAAGGAGTGAAGATACGAAATTCAAAAAATGGTTGTTGGACTTTTCGGCGTATACAAGACTTAATCGATTTCCGATAACGCCATCTCGCCGTGTTTGTTCAATTTTTTATGTTTCAAAACTTAACAAATTTTCAAAAACTATCTTCGTTTTTTATTTTGGAACGTTTTAGCAAGACGATCTTGGAGGAGTTATCCCTTTTTAGCCCTATTTCATTCACTTTTGAATGTTATTAACGATGTTATAGCAATTAGAAATTTGTTCCATTTGAAATTTAAAAGTTACCCCCCCTCTCTATCAGAGGATGGGGGTGCTCACTCTTATCAATACTACATAAGATTCTTAAAAACACCACGTTTCTCACCCCCCTAGTGCAATTTCACCAGAATTGCGAAAAATTGTTTTCTACTATTACAGCGCCATCTACTGGAAAACAATAAAATGTTTCAAACAAATTCTACGTATTTTTTTGCGAAAATTTCGAATCCGCTATAAAAAAATATGGGTTCCCATTAAAATTTGCAAGTTGCTGACGCATCGAAAACATATTGAGCTAAAATATAGCAAAGGTCAATGAATAACTGGTGCTCTATTGACTAACGTAAACCACATTGTTACAGACTACAAACATTCATTTTTATACAATTAAAAAATCAAAGATTACCAAATCTGAATAGTCGAGCAAGCTTATCGTCGATCCTGAAAAAATTACGAATGTGATGTGGATTGCAACGTGCATTGCTGTGCTAGAAACTCCGGTTGAGGAAACGGTTGAAAGTAGGAACATTACATCTTTTTTGCACTCCAGGAGAAATAATTTCAGTAGAAGTGGCAAATGCCAGCAAGTGAGGTAACCCCAGGAAAATGTGTTTCTTCCTCGCAATGCGTAAAGGTTCTCGATTTGTGCTAACGTTTTCATATTTCACAACTGAATATATCCAATGCCTCCGTTATGTACACCAAGACATTACGGGATATACCAGGAAGAAATTTCAGAATATTCTGTATTTCAGTCCACGAGCGAGGGAAGGACCTTCGTCCCTTTGAAAATCACTCCTGAGCGCGGTAACGAATTCTCACCAAATCACGCTGCTCGGACTTGCAGTCGCGCGCATTTTGGATGTGGCGCGTACACAGCATAAGAGTTTAGGAGTTCCCTACTTACAACCTAAGCCTTGCCACCAATAAATTTATCATTATAAGAGAAGTAACAATGAATGGAAAACCACAGAGCGAAACGTCCTGGGAACGCATAAAACATTCTGAAACGAATTAAGTCGGCCACGCTTAGTAAGCCCAGTTTGAGAAGAGACGCATGAAGAGGAAGAAAATCCTATTATCGCATTCTCAATCGTTCAATTTATCTGTAGTACGCATAACTAAAGGCAATAGATGATAGTGTCCCGGGTCGGACACTATCTCGCAAATCAGTGAACAGAATAATTAAAAGCGTGTCAATACTTCGTGGTTCCATTTGTGTATCAGCGGGTTCATATGACAAGAAAGGAAACTATGAGTAATACCTAAGTGTAAGACAGACAAAAAATGCAATCATACTACTTCAAATGAGAATTAATTTGATTGTTTTTTGTTTTGTTTTTTAATTTCAGAACAACTTTGGAGGGCAGATTGTGTAGCTGTGAAATGGAAGCAATAGCAGTACTATTTTTGCCTTTACTGGCACAAGCACTTGCTGGTGCTGTCGATGTTATTGTGCAAGAAGTTCCTGTAGGTACTACAGTAGAGCTTCCATGCCCCAGTTCTGATGATGGGCACCGCTTTCAATTCTGGTTACTTCTGGACAATGCAGTTTTGGGGCCAGGCAATGACATGAATCCGACCAAATATAAATATGATGTGTTGACTGGGCGTCTACATATTAAGGTAAATATATTTTATTATTTATATACATATATAATAGATCAAAATGAATTCTGACTTTCTTCTACTACTTTCTAATAAGCTTTATTAAACTTCACCCTTTTTAATCTGACAGTTTGGGGAATTGACACTTGGGAAGAGGCTCTCCAAACCAACTGGCAATCAAGTATACGATTCAACATAAAATCAATTGTATTTATAATTCATTGCGTTATTAAAATGATACGTATAATATAGATTATGTATTTACTAGTAAAATATTTCATTTGTAAATTAAACAGTTTCGTAGGAAAAGAGTTACAGTGGGGAACACAGGGGCTCAGAAATGGTGGTGCCCACCTCTTGTTTTCGCCTGGACATGCCTATTCTTTGCTAGGTCTTTCCTGTTTTCTGTCATTAGTTTAGAACCCTCCGCATAACTAACATTTATTGAAATAACCCTGTGCAGAGTATACATCCTTGTTTCTCTTAACTGTAAACCAATCAGTTTTGCTTTCAGCTAGTTGAACTTTTTACCACCTGCTCTACATAGTTCTCGTAATAGAATTACGGTATGTCCTTATTTGTGGAGATAATTCAAAACGGATTATGATTCACGCATGCCAAGCTTTAGCGTTATCCAAAGAACAAAATAAGCTGTTCTTTTGGAATTCGAGGCTTTCTTTCATTACCATCTCCGGTTCTTCTGCCCTTTCTGAAGCGAGGTTACTCTATTGAATGTTCTCTTACAAAGGAAGAATTAAGTCTTTTATTTGTAGCCTTCACCATTATGCTGCTGACCTGATAGTTCAGTGCTACTGTTAGGCCAATTTCAGCTGTTTCAATTCTTACGTAACAGAATTTAAATTTTACAGCCACACTCTTTTTGCCATATCAAACACAAAAGCTCTAAAATCTTTCCTACATCAATTTCCTACATGTTTTATCAGTTGCATCGGAATGGTCAGATCAATAATTTTTATTATTTTATTTGAGTGCCCACTGTACTTTATCTTTCACTGTTCAGCGTTCATCATTACAAATTCTTCCACTGAAATGCTCATAAACACTTGGATCCCTTTCGTACAATATTCGATTGTTTTCCACCTTTTCATTTCATTAGGTTTCGTCTCAAGTTAAAATAATGTAATTACTATTTTTAACTGCTTTTGTATTAAATTCCGCTGCCAATAATTTGAAACACCACTTACGGTCTTGATAACTGGTTATATTTTCTTACTTCCCAGTATTATTCATTTATGTAGTTTGTTTTATTTTAACTTGCGTTGGAATTTTCTGTTTAGGTCGTGTACTTTATCCCAGACACCTACTTGCTTTGCACAACTTTTCTGATTGCCTCCCAAGATGTTACTGGATATTTCTGCAAACTGTTCAGCCATTCTCATTGAAATGGCAACATTTGCTGGGTCATAAAATTCTTCATCTATCTTCTAAATTACTGTGCATGAAACATAACTTCTGACCCCTTACAGAATCTCATGGGAGTCCATAAATCAAAGGTCTAGAATGCACAATTTGTACATTCACAAATAATATTCAAGGTTGTGCATAATGATAACACATTTTTGGTGATTTTTTATAACGTATTGCACAAAAATCAGCATTGCCATTCTCATCGGTTTGCCGATCACCGAAAGGAAGGGGTAATTCTCTTTCCCGCAGTAGCGCATTTGGGTTTGTGTCAATGGCATCTTATTAATCGTACACAACCATATTTCTGCACGGGTAATATTTATATTACCTACGTCAATGCGCGCAGAAATTGAAAGAAAACTACGCAGCCTCCGACCATGTGACAGGTGCCTATGATTTCGTTAGTTACTTAGGTACTCGGTAAAACCACAAAAACCGTGAAAGTCTCGATTTTGCCAGAAAAGTGCAAATATTTGTTTCGTTATTTTGTCCATTTTCATTCTGCCCGTACAGACTGAATGCTCGAATTTCCATAGTGCTTACAACACAGCTCACGCCATCCGACAACAAGTATCCAAGGAAGAGGTCGCCCACCATTAAATACTTGCTATTTACGTGTTAATGAAACAGCAACTTTTTTTGTATTCTTGATGTGTAAAGAATGTATATAAAGTAAGTTTGTTAGACACGGAAATGTTCTGCACATAAAGTACGTTTTTTTAAATAAGGAATACTTTAATCACATGGACTTGCAGTGAATAATTGAATACTTTCTATTATTAGTCTTTATATATTTACATAATACTATTCAAGAAGATATAAATATTATTGAATGAAGTTGAAGTAATTTTATAATATAATTATATGATTTTCCTTTCCAGGCTATTTCATCCACAGAAAGTGGGATGTATACATGTGTATCAAAAGCTTTAGAAAATGACTCTTCCTTTAACAGCAAATCCGTAGAAGTGATAGTGAGGAAGGATTGGGAAGAGCTTTATGAAACAGATCCAGCTGTAAGTGTCATACTGTACTTAACTAACAAAAACACGCCCACATCTACACCCAACAATTTAAAATAAACATCTAGTTTTAAAAATATCTCCGTAATATAAACTTGTTATCTGCAATCAGTAAAGCTACGTTCATTGAACGAAAATAAAAACTGCCAAGAGTTCAAAGCATTGGCGACACAATAGAGAAAACTGAATATTTGCAACAGATTCAAAGATAAAAATATCAGAATGACCTTTCTATGGAAACACTACATCAATTTTGCCCACCCCGTATCACACAGGAGTCATTTCTTCTGGTATCTTATCTGGTGTTTCGTAGTACCTATAATATTACATATATAAATTACATTTTTAGTGTAATCTACATTAATAATATTCAACGGGTGTGTCAGTGATTTTAAAATAATTATCTTAATACAAATTCACAATTTCATATTAATATACATTTTCATTTAATACATGTACATTATTTCACGACACCTTGCCAGATGACATTAAATTCTATACAAAAGTTTAACTCCCAAGTAACATCTTTTCTGCTGCATAACTGTTTCTATACAGTTAAAGACTATACCGAGCATCCCAAAGGAATATGATAGTAATTTTAACATTGATATTTATTGTATTATATATCATTTTGATTGTATAATTGTAAAGAACCTGTAACAAGTATTGTACTTCAGCCTCTGGGTCAATGATCCCCATCTCGATCACGTTTTCGTCCAGTTTCCCTGATCCTCGAGCAAATGCTGAGATGGCCTCTTGTTTTGCTTCTGGACGTAAATGTAACTTCAAAGTCTCCCCATAGCACGTCACACAGTTTTTAACTATTTTTGACGTATACACATAAATAAATATCGTTTGTAGAACAGTACCTCAGTAATGAGTTATTGCTACAATACGGATCTCTCACTAGGTTTCACGTGTTTTTCATTTAACTTTAACTATGTGTAAATATATCATATGATGCATCATCAAAATAGACCTCAATGGCTTAGCGAAAAAAGGGTTCGTTTTAAATTAAAATCAAACATCTGCAGTAAAATGTTATTTAAAATGTCAGGGGGCCACAAACATCACAAACACTCTTGTTTTTCATCTTTTGGAGCTACTTTTTTAACTAAGCAGTAAATATTTTTCAATGATATTTTTCCAACAGATGTTAAGCTGAGGTGCAGCCCCTCATACTCCATAACAATGTCCTGATCATACACCATTCCTTATTGATCTCAAAAATGTATCACTGACTCGGAATATGGCTAATTTTACGGGGAAAAATGCACACTTTTAAAAAGCCCACAGCATCGTGAATTTTTATCCAAAATTATTTTTGTTTATGTAAAATTAAAGCTTGAAATCCTCTTCTTCAAGGATCATGCCTCAAGCAATCTAACTATTCCACTGCATTAGACCAACATTTACGCCGCTTGCCGGTGCCACCACTGAGTCATTCCACTTCAAATCGAACGAATTCGATAAAAAAAATTGACCTTGATGTTGGGTATTCAAATAGCGAAGACAACACTTTTTTTCATTTTCATAAAAGTCGTATACCTTCGAAGTAATTCGAAATTTAAAATTAAAAACTAGCGCGTCATATATATGATCATATCTCCTTTATTTAAAAAAACTAAAGAATTTAAACTAGTTTCATTTTATAGATTATAACATAATTTTTTATTATATTTGTACTAAAATAATACAAAAATTGAAATGGCTTACTTTTCGTAGTTTTGTTTAACATAAAGTTAAATTTTCTTTTAAGTACGAAAAAAAATTAAATATAAAAAATATTAGTAAATACCCCACTTGTCAATGTATGATAGAGAAAAATTTCAGAATAGGATATGCATACATACAGTTGCAATAAATTCCCACGTCCCCTTTCCTGCCCCAACCTCACCTCGTGCTCGCCTTTGATTCTCCCCCCAACCTCGTCTGATGGATTCTGCTTCTCCTTCTGTCTGCTCGCGCAAGCCTTCACGAAAGCCCCAGTTCCCCTACTATGGTAATCAAAGTTTTACAGATTTTAGAAATCTGGTTGGTGATAAATTGCAATCATGTGCGCAGTAGAATTAGGTAGTCCAATCGCTGAAGGCGTTTTAAAGGGAATTCGGGTGGAAAATATCCAGGATTCACTGTCTCATGTGCCCTTGTCTAACGTCGTATTTACAAAAAACACGTGCTTGTCGAAGCGGGTGCAGTACGGACATAATTTCTACTTAATGGCATGTGGGTGGGGCCGCAGATACTCGAAGGGGGTGGTTACGTCGTTTCTGACGGAGTGCGTTTCCTAAAGAGATACGTGGTGGACGGCTCAAAATGTGTGCCACGGGCTCTCCCACGCTATAGGGTAGTCATAGCTGTGCGGAGAGAATCGAAGGAGGGGGTCGCGGGCGCGTTGAAAAGACCCTGGCCTGAGGGGCGCATGAGGGACAGCTCGAGGGGGGGGGCGACTACTGTAGAAAAACTATTGGAAATAATATTATTTAATAATTCCGTATTCGGTAACACCACAACATCCCATTCAGAATTCAGACCAAAATCTTTTTCGTGAAAACATAAAATAACAAACTTTTTTCGGTTTTGTATTGCTTATTTCCTCCATCTGTTATATATTATTTTCTTGACATTATCTACTTCAACGATTAGAAATTCAAATGTTTCTGGAAAACGTGAACTGCATTTGAACCAAGCTTCAGGCTTTCAGAAATTGTTATTACACCTTTATGCCTTAGGTGACTATTATATTTGAAATATATAACAAAGGGGCGACGTGTGACCTGGTCCTTTATTCCAATGTGCTCCATGAACTGAATTTTGAATGACGATGGAATAGGATATCGCAAGCCTTAAGGTTTCCTTCGTATATCGCAGTGATTTTGAAATTGAATGTATGAAAATTACAGTCTTGTCTTAGATGTTTGATATTACTCATTGTGTTAACATTCTAACACAAATTACATAAAACCTGCAGTAAACACGATTTACACTTGCTGCACAAAGACAGGGTAATAACACCTGTAATAACAAATAAAATTGGATTTGCCGCACACTACATTGTGTTTCGTCCTGAAGTGGCTGTAGTGGGACCGTACTCACGAAAAGTTAAATAAATACTAGCAGAAACCTTGACGAGGGCGCTCATCTGGTTTTCGAAGAAAGGCCTCTTTGTTTACGTCTGGTAGTGGGGTATGAATTGCCCGCGCTGGGTACGATGACAGAACGATTTTCAGAGTCAGTTACCAGTTTAAAAGTAACCTATAGTCGTACCTAGACATTTGAAAATGTTTAAAGATTATGCAGACTCCAAGTTTCATTCCGATCTCCATTGTTCGAAGTATTACTAACATTGAAACATCCCGGCAGTACACTGTGTAGCTGCGCACTCGTTCTATTAAAAATTTTTAATTACGTTATTTATAAATACCCCCATTTGAAAGTTTGCACATTTGAAGTTCATTAAACTGCGAATATTATACTTTTAAAATAAAAATTTATTTTCGCGAAATTTGTAAAATTGAAATTTTTTAAATTGAGATTTAATGAATTAATGATTTAACAATTACATTCAATTATAAATAGTCCCAAACAACTGTGTTTGGACTTTTATTTGAGACTAATATCAGTTCTGAACGACCAATGCGGCAAGAGAAATAAGCATTTTTATTTGCTGGTGCGTGCGGTTTTTCGAAAAATTTCATTCGGCATATATTTTAAAATAATTAAGTTGAATTTAACAAAAACGTTTAAACGCCTTTTAGTTACCCTCAGAATATAGTCAGTTTCAATCAATTTCGAACACTTAAGATCAAAACGGCGTTCGATTTGACGTGGAATGACTCCACTGTTTATGACTCACAATTGAGCCATGTTGCAGTATCATTCCGAATACATTGCTATTACATACGTGATACGTTTTTCGAATCAAATATGGAATATATGATCATGGCAGTGTTGTAGGATATAGTGTGCACCATCTCAGTTAACCAGCTCTTGAAAAAAATACCATTACATAATGCAAATGATCTTGGCTGTGCGGGTGACGCAGCGTCGAAGGCTCTGATGGACGACGTTTTTGACCATCTTGTCGTGGTCTTCCTCAGGGCTGGTCAGCTAATTGTCAGGACAGCCAAGATCATTTGCATGACTGGCCGCGGAAGTCAACCACTTCACCAGTAACTAATATTTACTGCTTAATTTATAAAAAGTAGCTTATAAAGGTGAAAAGCAAGTGTTTGTGGGGTTTGTAACACTCCTAAAATGTTAACCATTTAAATAGTTTCAATGGTGCATGTGTTTTTAACGTTGTATATGGCTTAGCTCATGATAGTGTTACGCCACATTTTCAACAAAAATGAAATAGTACCACTAATATTATTCCCATATTCGTTCTAACATTTTGTGTAAGTACAGTGGTTTTGATATAACAAAGGATGCAGTAAAATGGAATTTCTTCTTTACTGTGACGAGGAAGGTTGGAATAAAACATCTTATTGCTCAGAATGAATTTGATATGGCCTGGGACTATCTAATGCCAAACCATAAACAGTAAAATCTGTCTAAACCGGAATCGATCGGGACAAAAAATTATTCCGGTTTAAGATGATTTCCGTTTTATGCCGAGTTGTCCATTTTATTTGCTACTTGCCACTTTTTATATTGCTATCTCCGTCCTGAAACTAGTAAATTACAAGACTTTTATATATTTATGAAAATATATTAACATGTAACATGCTTATGGAAGAAATCACCAAGAAGTGAATATTAAACACGTTTCTAACAATTAAAAGGTAAAACTTCACAACTTCTGTAATGAAATACGAGGCACGTCCAGAAAGTAAGTTCCGTTTCAATTTATCTCCTCTGTAATATTTTTTCCAACATTCATTTACAATTTTTGCTTTCCCACGTATTAACACCTTCTCAATCATGTTTTCTGAAGTTGAAAAATGTTAATATTTAGGACTTTCTGTTTTCTTCCATCCATTGTTAAACTGGTAGCGGAATTCATAAAAACACTGCCTGGTTGCTGCACCCGGAGCGCTCGCTATCAACGCACAATGCGTCACAAGCTACAGAACTGTCTTTTTGATACCATCGCATGGCCTTGACCAGAGCGGCTCTGGCCGGAAAGTGACTATTGTCAACGCGGGGCCTGTAGATGCGTGAATACAAGCACTTTCCCATGCTCAGAGCTGGGAGGGAGGGAATTCCCCTAGGGCCTACGCCTTGAATGACAAGCGACACCGAGGCCGAATTCTACGTAGACACGTGAAGCTTCTCGCCCTCACTGTGAGGCTGCATAAACTCTCCATTTATTTGTTTAATTGTTTATGTCAGCATTTGCTCAAGGGTCAAGGAAACTGGACGAAAACGTGATCGAGATGGGGGTCATTGACTCAGAAGCTAAAGTAAAATACTTGTTACAGGTTCTTAAGAATTATACAATTCAAATAGTAAATAATACATTAAATGCCTTATTACTTATTATATTACTTTCCTTTTGGATGCTGGTATAGTCTCTAATTGTATAGAAACAGTTGAGCAGCAGAAAAGATTTTACTTGAGACAAACTTTTGTATGGAATTTAATCGTTTAATGTCATCTGACAAGGTGCTGTAAAATGATGTACAAGTATTGTGTGTGAATTTTTTGTAGTGAGCTGTTGCGACTGTCACCTAATGAATATGATTACTAGGTCGAGTGTTGTAGTTATAGACATCAGCGATTCCTGAAAATATATTCCCGTCCTTAAGTAAGTCATTTTTGACAAAAACTACTGATTCATATATCAAGATACAAGGTAATCGTAAAATACCTAGATTAATAAAGATGCTTACAAGAATCATGTGGATGGGATTTGCTAATTATTCGTATAATTCTCTTTTCTGTAATCCAAACGTCTGGGAGTTATAAGATGTATTTCCCCAGAATATTATGCCATATCTCAGGTGGGAATGGACATTCGCGAAGTATACACAACAAGCAGTATGGAGGCTGACTAAATTTGAATGAATTCTGAAAGCGTGACATAAAAAACTTAATTTTGTGTTCAATTCATTTAAATTGACGTTCCGTTTACGATTTGACTGAATTGAAAGATCTAAAAATTTTGTTACCTTAACATCAGTCAATAACACACCGTTCATTTTCAATGGACTGCAGAGCTGTTTATTTGAAATAGAAAACTGCATTGAAACCGTACATAATGTTCCATTATTCCTGTATGGTTTTTCTGTTAAAACAGACTCTGAGATGCATTCATTCTTTGAAGAGCATGCGTGACTCTCTGCCAATTGCATTAAATTCGCAGAAATTCCGTTTTATGAAGGTTTTTCTTCCCCCGTAGGACATGAAAAACAGTTACATTTCCACTTTGGACAGATTCCGTTTCTTATTATGTGTAAAATGCAATATAACTTCACGGGCCGGAGAAGTTTTCCACCTAAGGAAAGTTTCCAGCTTGTACAGGTTCCGGTTTAGACAAATTTTACTATATATTATATTTATATATGATTAATATTAATTAGAAACAGCATACACATTTGCCTTTCTACACACTTAAAAATATTTTGTTGACAGACAAATCTGATGAGAGGACTGATTGCCATGGGTGTTCTCCTTATTATACTCATAGTGGGGATAGTAATCTACCTGCTCAGAAGAACAAGAGTAATTCATATTCGAGGTAGGTGTAAAAGGAGCAAATTGATAATTAACTGGGAACATCATGATGAGCATAATAGGTTCTGAAAGGTTGGTCAGTTCACACAATTTAAAAACAATAGCATAACCCATCTCATATTACTTCGATTTGCTTAATCACTGTAACAATTCAAATAAAACACATTCAAATTAGTATGTGTATTACCAGTAGAACATGTTTCTGAACAAAAAGAAATTGCTAACTCTTGCTTACTTGATACTTAATTGCTCACTATCTTAGTATAAGTTTAAAATTATTGTTAAGCTTTTTCATCATTTTTCATTATTTATTCTAGACATGTCTGATGAAGAATCTCCAGATGAAGTGGCAGGGACCTACAATGTGCCCAATATGCCAACCATGTCGAGTAATTCTCCGCCAACGAATCTTGGCGTAGACAATCCCACACTAGAAACTGACTTCCCACAAGTATTCAGAAGCATGCAACAGACAAATGACTCTCAAATTTGAAGTGCAACCTCCAGCCATCACCCCAAAACATGAAGATGTAAATATGACTTCATTTCATTGCCTATCATCGTAGTGTTTATAGAAGTGACAGAAATTCAATGTGTAGAATAGTGCCATGGACACAACTGTAAGGATACTATCATAAGAATGAAGGAGCAGTGTTTAGTGATTTAGAAGTTCTTTTGGTGTTTCATATTAATAAGTGACAATTTAAATGACTTCTTCAATCATCCAACTGGGAATTTTCAAATGCAAAGCATTGGATCATAGAAAAACTCAAATTAGTAAAAGAAAGACAACATGCTATTTGGTCAATATTACAGGTAAGACTGGGTTATAATTCCCAAAATTCCTATGGAAAAAAATATAACTTGCAAACAAGATCATAACAAAATAAATGTTTTATTGAGAATCAATCTGTACCAATAATTTGAAACTTGATAAGAACATTGCAATTTGTGAGTAAATAGTCTCTTTCTCTCATGAGAAATACTATCTGATTTCATGTGACAACATGAATTCTCATATCCTGGCAATAAATACGTAAATTGTAAGGATTGCTAAGTAACACAAATGGAACAGTGCACTGCCAGTGATATAGGGTTATGAAGGACAAACAATGCAATAACATATCTTTATAGTCTGAGAAAACCAAAAAGAAATGAGCATGAAAACTTCTGTACTTTACAGATTTCATTAACCCATATTTTATTTCACTGTAATGTTCATTTCTTGTCATAGTGAAAATAAATATTTAAAAATAATATTTAAAAATATTGAATGATATAATACTTCAGATATTTTTACTTAATAATGAAATAACTTAATTATTTATTTGCAACATCTGGTAAAAAATAAAGTGTATTCTGTAATTGAATTCCATAATGAGGAATATGTTTCAGAATGTCTCTTCAAGCCAGATTAAATTTGTGTTTACATCCATCTTTATTTTCTGCCATCAGAAATAATATTTTTTATGTATTTCTCTTGATATATTTGTACAAACACAAGTTTATTGAAAGAGAGAAGTTGTCTGCTTCAATTAATTTATGAAAATATACACATATATATTTACAAGACTGTTTTACCTTATTAGATCATAATAGAAATAACTACCAGCAAAGACTGAATCATGACCCACTATATTTAAGATAAATTAAGAACCAAAACTATATTCACCATAGTTTGTTCTTTTGTTTTTATGACATACATCACAGCTTTTCTGTGAAACAGAAAGCCCTTGATCATTAAAATGAAATAGTTCTTTAAAAATATATACAAACAAAGCAATATGTACATATACATACAAAATATATTTATAAAATCAAGTGTTCTTTCTCCCTAAGAACTTGGAGGTATAAATTTGCTTTATGAAGTTATATTTTAATTTAATTCCTTATTGTTTTGTTAGAACATTTTCCAGCTGAAGCTGGTTACCCAACAGCAACAAATAAGAAGCAACTTGCACCATTCATACGACACCACAGTATAACACACTTGCATGTTGCTAATTCTGGCACTGCCATTATCTAAAATGGATAGCAATACTAGACTTGTGGACCCTTCGCGTCGTCAGACAAAAAACATCAATAGGTAACGAATGCTGGAGCCATCACCGGATGTCTCGATATAGTTCATCGCTCAAGCATGTCATACACCTTAAAGGCATTATTTATGCCACGTACAATGGGGAGTACGTCAACTAGTACATGTAAAAATTACTGACACGTTCTAGGAGGAAAACTGAATGAAAATTGAGCGCGCAATGCATGTTCTAATTTTCTGTACCGTACCGGAATTGAAAATGCGCGAGCTCGGAAGAGAGTGCCTGCAACTGGATTTTGAGGCGGAGAACTTGAATCCACTTTCATCGCGCTCTTCTTCGAACTTGTTGAGAAGTTGAAACTACCTTTCAATTCCATGCTCTTAGAGATGCAAAAAATGGCGGTCATAAAAAAGAGTGATGTTTTCACAATCTCGAATAACTGATGCTATAACTATGCTTTAATAGCTATGGCAAAAAGTGACTCACAATTTACCTCTGGGGAACTCCATTTTCTAACTGTTGACTGAAGATTAGCTTGTCACCAAGTCGGTCGCGAAATATATCAAGAAAAGCTACTAAAAACAATGGGAGCCGTCCTGTGAGCCCCCCAGAATGTGTGGCAAGGGTGACTATGAGGTCCATGATTGACATGAGTTTCCATTAAACGCATCGAAAAGGTATACGTAGATTTCTTTGTATATTCTTTGATAAGTAGAATCAAACCATACGCATGATTACCATTCGCTCTAAAAGCTTGCAAACAGCTTGTGAGCGAGGTTGAGTGGTACCTTGACGGGACTGTTCTGTCATCTCCTTTTGGGGGGAATTGGGGCAAAAATGGCTTCACGTGAAATCCTAGGTATGGCATGCTCAACCCAAATCTGGTTAAAGATACTTAAGAGGAAAAACGTGCTTTTTCCGGTAGATGTTTTAACTTTGTTATGTGGACTTGTCATGGAGCAGAATATTTCGCGCGAGCGAGAGCGAAGGCAAACTCATTCGTAGAGAAAGGGGTATTACGGACCTCCTACAGGCGACTCGAAAAATCCATGGTCACCATTCTGCTCTTGGAGTCCAGAAAGCTAAGAGAAAATGTAAGTAACTGGATATTTGCCAATTCAAGTGAGAGGCCAATTCCTTAACAACGCCTTCGGAAGATGTGATAAGATTTCTATTCACCAGAAGCCCCGGTACACACTGTAGTGGCATTCTTTCTCCGATCTGTCACACCGTTCGCCAGACTATTTAGGGGGATATGGCAATAAAGAGAAGACATGTAAGTTCCCCAGGACGCATACTTACTTTCTTGTATTACCAATCTAGCTCTGACCTGTGTTTTTCATTGATCGAATTTACGGTGGCGGGATATCTATTGAGCCTCGACAGTGCCCGCGTTCGAACCTTCACCGCGGTGGCATAGTCGGCGTCCCACCAAGTCTCAGGGAGGTGTGGCCGGCCCGCAGATTCGCGGATCGCTATGAAGGCTCCGCGAAGAACGGTGGCGGTGAAATGGGGCAGCATGGCACAGATGTCATTCGAACAATTGTCAGTTCTTGTAGTCTGTTGAATGAATCACAGTCAGCTCGATGAATTAGCCAACGAGACAGGTGTGCAAAGTTTAAAACGGGAATTCTAGAGTGGACTAGAGCAAGGGAATGGTAACTTTCAGGTAAGTTGTCGAGACCAGTCCACTCTAAGATGGTAGATAAGAGATGGAATGCTGAGAGCCCGATCGGTGGAGAAAGTGATTGAAGCAAAGTTCGTATAATTTTCACAATTGAGTTCTGCTGGCCAATATTTTTGAGAATAGTACAATAGCTCTCTGGCAGGAACTCGTTACCTAAGGCTTAGGAAAATCGATTTCGAGAATTTATGCACATACGTTTCGGGGTCCCGCGTCAGAGAGTTTTTCTTCTTCTTCAAAACGCACGTCCGTCAATAATAACGCCAATATTATTCGTAGTATTTTACCTAAAACAAATATTTACCTGTCGATTTTCCTCGAAATTTTTGGGAAACTTGAATATATTTTCAAAATTTTCTCTACAATTTAATTTTTTTAAATTTTATTTTAAGAAGAGAGTGGAATGAACCCATAAAGATGACATTTCCGATATTTACTATTAACTCAGGATTTTCGAAAATTGTAAGTTTGAAATTTTTGAAACCCTCCACAATTAATGTCATAAACTTTTTTTAAGTATTAACTATTCGCGTTATTTTAGGTACAATAGGGCAATATTAACTAAAAAATAGACCCATTTTCACTTTTTCGCCGTATACTCGAACTTCCTAAAAAGATAAAGTATTGTAATCGTGCGCCGGTAAGCAGCTAATTTTTTGACAGAAAACTGATTGCCGGACCCTCGTAACAAAAAAGTGGATAAATATTGTTTCTCGATATATAGTAAATTTCTTTCTCTAACACGATGATAGAATCTGTTTTGTAGACCCTTCATACAGAAAACATCGATTAGCGGCAAAACGTCTCTCTCCGTGTGCTGTCAAAGCTATCACCAACAACGTTCAACCGATTTTCTCCAAAATTGATGTTTTCCCGATCGATCTGAAGGCGTATCAACCTGATATTTTGATTTCTACTTCACCCGTCAATTATAAAATTATTTTCATTTATTATAAGCAGTTCTTTTACAAACCATTTAATTTTCATTTAAACTAAATGGAGCGAAGCAGAGCAGAGCGACTCCACGTGATGGAATCACTCCCATGGGGATTTTTGTGCGCCTGATCTTGACTTTTAAACGTGGCAGGGTGTGCTGGGATATTTTGCTCTCCTCCTTTTACATCTCTTTCGAACTTTTTTTCTATTTTTATTGGTGTTTTAAATGGTAAATACAATGCATTTTTTCCTCTCCTCTCTCTTTCTACTTGTTCTCTCGTTTCTCCCCATCTCTTTTTTAAGTCTCCACTCATTCTTCTTTCCCGTATTTCTACATACATCTTTCTCTCTTCTTTATTTCTTTCTCGCCAGTTTCATGTTCTACACAGGACCAACATGAAATACAACTAAAAATAACTGAATATGCCGGGCAAGTCAGGTAAATTGGAAAAAACACCTTGTTAAGTATATTGCGGAAAAAAAATAATTTTTAATCAGTTTTGACATGAAAAATATTTAAGAGTTACCTCTTGGTGACACAACTTTAGAATACAAATTTACAATTACATAGTGTGATATTCCCTGCTTGCGCCCTTTTCTAATGTAATATTACTTTATTTATTTATTTAAAAAACAAATATTGCCTGACCTAGCTTGCTCAGTATTTCATCTATTATTTAACAAGGTTTGTGGGTCACAGAAAAATGTATATCATGGGTTGGCAGTCTTGTCAACATGGAATCGACAGGGCGAAAACTTTATGCAAGGAATATTTTAATAATTTAATTAATTTATTGAAATAAACAATAAATGTGTTTGTCTTCCTGAAAAACATGATTTCCAGTTCTTTTACGATTTCTGAACCTCGCTGTAATTGCTAAAATACACTTATTACGTAATTTTCACTGAAAACTAGCAACACAATTTGATCTTCATACATTTGAAATAAATATTCTTAGTCTATTACTTCCCTGTTGGGCTCCACGGCAAACTTGAACGATGAAGCTGCATTCATATCCTACCATCTGCAATCTTGCAGCTGGATCACTTTATGCTTTCAATTTTATTTCCAACTTTAAATATTCTTATGAAATTTCCTTAAAACTTAGTCACTTATTTCACAACAGTGACTTGTTTTTGCTTTTCCAACTTCATTTTCAAAGACTATTAAACTTCAGAGAAAAAAAAACAACAAATCTCTAACAAATTAATTACAATAACAATTTCACTATCATGAATCAACTCAATTTGTTCGTGATCACCACTCAGCTCATTTTGTCTGGCAAGATACATTGCCCGTGTTTGAATTGTCTTCTTCTATGTCTGAGTAAATCCCAAACTCATTCCTTATTGCTAATTCTTCACTTTCCTCTTTAATTGTCTAATGCCCTTCCATTTGGCTCATTACTCATTTACCTATCACTACATTTACTTTTTGACATCTGGTCTTGTTTTCAATTCCTTATTTATACTTATTATTCATATTGCTATCTACAAAAATTCCTCATGTCCATAACTACAATTAACACTATTTTCTGTCATCAAATTATACTGGTTACTTTCTATTATTCTTTCTTTCTTTATATTTTATTTCATCATCAATGTTGACCTCCATTGTTGCTTTCCTAATACCGTCCCTTATAAACTTTTTATACTAAAATTCCAGGATAATCCATCGTAATGTTAATTAAATGTACAATTGTAGGATTTATTAAGTTAAAAAAAGAGCTCTTAGACTTATACAAAATAGATATTTATTTATAATACTGTGATCAAATTTATCTGAAACAAATAGCTCAAAAAGCATCAATAGAGATTATAAGTAATTTAAAATCAAAACCATAAATGTGAATTTATGTCATAACCTTCTGTGTGTGTGTGTGTGTGTGTGTGTGTGTGTGTGTGTGGGGGGATGAAATCTCCTGATCTTTCTTCCCGCTTTAATGCGCCAATCTTTCTAAAGATTCTTTCTAAGAAACGGAAAGGGGCGGGGGTGGGAATTAAAAAACGCTAAGAGAAATGCATATTGGTATCAACCTACATGACCTTTCAAGTGCACTGAGGACTCGAGAGAAGTCTTAGAGATTAATGGAATGAATTGTGCAAAAAGGAAAATAGAAATTTTTAGGAATTTTGGGATGGAGGCAACAGTATTTAATGCTCAAAATATTATGCCTAGAAAAATGTTAAACTGCTTTCCGAAACAGGTTTGCAATCTCATCCATATCAATAATTACCAGTTGTTTAAGAAACAGGTTTTTATGCTCAAGAAAAATATCCTTTACTGCATTTCAGAAGTCACACAGATGAGAATGCAAGTGTTTGAAAGCAAAATGAAATGTACTAGAGAACAGGTTATCAAAATAAAAGGTATGTATTATCTTCAGTCCAATAACTTTCTTTAATATAAATATAGCAATAAAAATGTATCTAAAACACGGAAAACTGAAACAGCTTCATTTCTTTCATCTACCCGAGAGCAGAATCTTCTTCTTGACCTTGTTCAATATCTTCTTCCTTGCTCCCATCCAAAACACTTGTATCACTATCCCTTATGCTGCTTGCTGTAGCTTCCATAACTTCTTCTTCTTCCTCCTCCTCTTCCACTTCCATTTCAAACAAACGAACCTTCCGTCGGCTTTCTGATAAAATTACAGCTACTTTTCTGGAACCACTCACTGCAAATCTAGACGCTACAAGATTCTCCACAGGTCGCAATGCTGATAAATCGACTAATGCAGTTGCATCAATACGTGGAGCAGAAGAAAAATCTGCACATGGTCTAGCAGCTTCAAGAGCTGCCCGAACAGGAAATTGCACAAACACAGCACTCTTTCCTTCATTTTCCTGCTGCAGAAGCACTGACAACACTTCTGGAAGATAAAACTGCACATCCAAAGAACGGAAATCATTTGATACTACTTCATCTGACACTCGAGATACAGGACTAAAATTTAAATAAACACACCGTGGCCTTGTTCCCTGTGATTCTAAAGATTTATTGGTATTAATTTCAGTAAAGAAAAATCCTTTGAATGAAGAGCTAGGATCTACTAGAGCAACTAATATTTTATGTTCCTTAGATTTATTTACATGTGTAATACGAAGAGAATCTGGTTCAAGTATTTTACCACAGGTTATAACATTAGAAACTTTAAACATCTTTGCAATACAGACTTCAGGTTTTTTAAATATCTCATTTACAGACGTTTTCAAATAGTTGTACTGTTGAACCAACGACATCTGTTCAAAATGAGGAATAACAGTTGCATGTTTAGCAACACATTCATTTTCTTCCAAGAATTTAGCCCAGAGATTGTGCTCACTGTTCGGAAGGATGGTAAGATTTTGGTCAACAAGGTACTGTCCAAGTCTTTCCAAGTTGAAACGCTTCTTTCTGATAGTTGTACCTCCACCACTTCCACTTTCTGAAATACAATCGCTTCCATCAAAATTATATAAAAATTCTGCTAAAAATGAAAGTTCTTGTTGGGAAATTTTTGTAATTTCAGGAGGAACACGCTCATCAGACAGCCTTAAAATTGCAACATACAGCCAACGAAAAAATATTTTATAGTTCTTCATTGAATTGTCAATTACTTGTTGCACTTCAGCACCTTTTACTAAAAATGCTCCAGCAGCTGCAAGAGAGCTTGCAACACCATCTTCAGACAAACCCAGAATTTCATATCTGTCAGCACGTCGTGCCATCCCACGAAGCTCTGCAAGATGATAGACTAAACTTTGTCCTACAGAATGAAGATGTTTAAGCACTAGCTTCTGAATATTAGAATAGCTGAGCTCAATTGAATGCCCCAACTTTTTAAGCCCCTTTTCTGTTAAATCTTGTAATAGGAACATCTCCATTTCATCAGATGCTGTTCCAAACATAAGCAAATCAAGAAAGTCAGCAGACACTGAGCCATCAGGAACTGTTGATGCATATGTGGCTAATTTTGAATCCATTTCTACTAATATATTTTCCCATGCCTCAGTTATAGAGTTCATTGTTTGAGAGAGGTATCCTAAAAGACTTGCAATATGACCATGCTTCAAAGCTAAAGAATGTAGTTCAGCTGCTTGACAAGATAAAATATTGGTATCCAAAAGGACTAAACTCAATTCACATGGCCCATCATTTTCTTTTTGTTGAAGAACACCTATATACAAAATATTAAGATCTTCTGAAACATCTGCATCAACAACTTTGCAATTTTTGCATATAATATAGTCATGCAAATCAATCACTCCACAAGGAAATAAACCAAATATACTTAAGTACAATTTCCCATTGAGTAAACCAACAATAAGAATGTTCAAAAGATTTTGTTCTTTAATTTTCTTTGCATCCTCCAAATTTTCCTCAAGACATTTGTTCACAGATCCAAAACTTCGAGATAAAGAAGGAAGCTTTGGCAAGAAGTTGCTTGAAGTATCACTAGTGCTATATTTTGGGACATCTTTCTGTTTAGGCAGCAATATATTTTTACTATCATTGTGATCTTTCTCTTGAGCCCATGTGACAAATGTAACTTCACCATCCACCATGGCACTGTGAAGGGTCTCTTTATTTTCCACATCGACCAAAAGGATTTCACCTGAAGCAGTTTGATAAAATATATATAAAAATAATGTATAACAAAAAAAATCCTGAAATTAAAGTTTAAATATATTCTTAATTAAAAATACTCAAAATTAAGGACAAGTATTCTTGCAAAACATTCGTTCTTGTTCCAATGGGCCAAATAATGGATTATTTCCAGTGATTTCCTATGAATTTAATCAGCTTCTTTTTCTACTGGATTTATGTTCAACATATACTAATTTAATCCTTTATTTATAATCCTTTGACTGTTTCCGTGAAGTTAATTATTGAGTTTTAAAATTTCCTGTTCTATTTCCATAAAAATCCAATAGAAAAAGAAGAAGAAAAAATATCATAACAACATTGCCATGTTAACCAGAAGAAACAAGCAAAATAAATAAATGCTTAAAGACAAAATAAAGTTCAACGCAGTACATAAAATTAGCAATAAATTGGAAATAGTAAAAAACCAGACAGAGAAAACAGACTTTAAAGGTAATGAAAATGTTGTATACAAAATACAATGTCATGCTTGTGACATGAAATACATTGGACAAACTAAAAGTACAAAAATAGATAAATGACCATAGGAATAATATCAAAGAAGTAACAGATAAACAATTCCACCACAAAACACAGAATTTTCAGGGCTACAATTTAAATTTGAACATGAGATATTCTTAAAATACGGGAAACAATTTTTTTTTGGTTGATTGTAAATCAAACAAACGCCTAAGAAAATTCTTAAAACCTCTTTTCATCTACAGAAATTCGCACAAATAATAAAGACAATATTGATAGGAGTAATGTGGTTAAAAAATTACGTATCTAAGAAGCAAAAAAACACAATTTTTTTTCATTGTATGAATTACTTCAAGTAAATTGATTTAAATCTTCAATTATGATTTTCAACAACAAAAAATTATATCCTCTGGGGCAGTTTTGCTTGTCTTATTTTGCTACTCCCTTTGAACAAAACTATGCAGCCTCAGGCCTGTGGTTTTCAGTAAACACATATTTTTTATATCAATTACTTTTTTGACTGACTTCTATTCTATAGCTGATATATAAAGCTAATCAAATTGGTGGCTTGCACCATTGCACGCAGGTCAGCAATATACAACCAAGGCCAAGCAATCTCTTCGAATGGAAGAAAGACATTTTCATATAATCCGACACTTCTTTCTCTGTCCATCTTAACAGAGTATCACGAAAAATGCCTATATACTTTACCACAATTTCATAAACTTCAATTTTGAAGTGTCTAAATACGAAAAGTATTCCATCAGGATTATGGGCAGCATACTTACACGTGCTATAAGCAATTGCAATAACTTTTCCATCTGGTCTCCATGCCATTCCTTTTACTGTTGAACCTTCTGTAGGTGGAGGTAGTGACCAAACTTTCTGCCAAGTTAAACGATGCAGTGCCACTTCACCTATGATTTCAAACATTTCAATTTAATTACCAGCTGTTCACAATTGAAGAAATAATATACAAGTTCAAAAATTAAATCTCATGTGTTACCTCTAACATTTGAAAGGGCCAACAAATCCATTTTATTGGACCACACCAGAAGTTCCACTTTTGTGGCGACATGTCTCTCTTCTAATTGTCGCATTGCATTAGAAGTTGACATTATTATTTTCAAAGAAACTTTTGAAGAAAATGATTAACTTCAAAGAATGAGAATTGTCTTAAAAACAGGCAAATATATTTCCAACTAACAGCCAAGAGAGCAATTCCTTTTCAAATTCAATATCATCACAAGTATTATGAGACATCACTTCACTGTCACTGTCATCAGTTTTCTCTAACCACACAAACCATTCCGATCCCTTCCTTTTTGCCGCTGCACGTTTGTGACAATTCCCGCTGGGACTAGGAAACTGCTGTGCCAATGGTCTCATGGTGTAAGATAAAGCAATATTCCCTTACACCAGTTCTTTCGATTCTTTCTTACATCGATTCCTGAAGATCGGAGATGGGTGAGATCCTCCGACCAACACCACCAAGTTCGATGAGAGTGTTTTTTAGAAATATTGTCTAAACTGTTTTTCTCCAGTATTACCAACCGCAGCAATGACCGTGCCCGTATAGAGCGAGCGGTCGAGTGATATAAAGACAAGATTGATGAAATGTTGATGCATTAATGAAATGATGCATGTTATGTAATGTAAATTTATGACATTAGATCGTTGGGATATAAGGGGGCTCGAGTAAGGTCGTTTCTAGCCTTCTTGGTAGAGGGTGACAAAAACTTTAATTCTGTAGATCTAGTGTTCGTGTTCTTCCGTGATTTACGGTGTCGAGAAATGTAATTGTGAGATAAGGTTTAAAAGTATTACCCTAGTTCTGATACTGCGTGATTTTTGTATTGGATTGTCTAATAACTACGTAATACGAGAGATTTGTTAGCAATCAAGGTATAAGAGATACAATTTGCCGATTAACCAACACGGCACAACGCTCGTCAGGAAGTGAACCGTAATCTAAATAACATCTTGCCTTCACACTTCCTTTTAGGCAAAGAATATAAAGCAGTGGCTGAAAATGGATTACGCTTCTTTGAGAAATGTATGCATATTTTCTTATTACTAAAATTATTGCATTTCAGACATCTCAGAATTCACTTGTGATTTCTGATCAATTCAAATCACACTTACCTCCTCTAAGAGAGCATTCATTTTGATGTTTTCATAAAACGTACTGTTGTGGCGAAATTCAGAATACTTTGTGTATTTGTAATTGAGCCACTTTTTTTCATAATATTGGGTTAGTGTAACATTCATTAGTACTACATTAATTTAATTCATACATTATGTTTTTACTGTTCAAAGAATTTACTTCCCAAGCCAGGATTCAGGTCTCCTGATACTGAAATATTGCACACCATGTCAATGTCATCTTTAGGTTAACATAGCTTAGCCCAAAGTGTTCAGCTGACTATTGACTAATTTTTGTCATTAAAAATAATAAATTAACGTTTCACAATTTCAATATAATTCAATTGCAGATACTTTATTCACATTTGCTCATGTTGTATTAATTTAAAAATGTCTCCCTTAACCTACTTTTTGAACTATCAACCGTTGTGGGTGCTTCAAATCACTGCAATATTTCAAAAGGCCCTGTTGCTCTAATCACGAACTATTGAGTCAGGTAACTCATTGAACAGTCTTAAGGGGAGAAGATTAATGTACCGAATTGAACAATCAAAATATAGTTAACACAACAATTGAATGGGTAAAAACCAGAACGGTGTGACACTCTATAAATTCGGAGAAATTGTTAGTTTATGTCAATATCACTGTAAAGTCGTGTTGCTTTGTTACATCATAAAAGGTACGGTATTTCAATTGTTCATTAGAACCATAAAAATACATTGCCACTGACAGACTAAAATAAACACGTGTTTCTCAGAATTTATAAAATGTCACTTATACCATTCTGATTTTTACCCATTCAATTATACATCAATGCAAGTATGCATTGTTATGTATGCACAGTATATCAACATTTAATACTAGTATGATTAAACAGTTGAAACATAATTTGTAGCAATTACATCATGCTTAAAAGCTATGTGATTGCAATGGTATATAACTAAGAACTCATGTAATTGTTAAACTACTAATTGTTCACTTAGTAAAACTTAAATATAATTTGTTTTCAGTTTAAGGACTTTTTGCAACTCTACAATGCTATATCAGAAAGTTGCTTCACTCGCTGTGTAAATAATTTCAATGAAAGAGAGTTATCACTTGATGAGGTAGGTAAACCATTTTCATATTGTTCTTGGTGTTTTAGTAATACTTTTGTGGCAATAACAGTTTTTGATTTTGTTTAGGCAAAATGTGTTGAATTTTGTGCTGGAAAACATGTTAAAATGAACCATAAAGTGATGGAAGTATACATGGAAGTTCAATCTGTCATAACCAATAAGAGAATTGAAGAAATACAGAACGCCCAAGCACAGCTTGATAATAAAGTTACCAATGAAAGTAGTCAAGAGAGCAATATCTGAAAAATCTTAATGAATTGTGATTTAAAATGGATATTGAACAAGAACATAAGATGTGTTTCTTGATATTAATTGGACTGCCGGGATGTGGAAAAACTACATTTTGTTCATATTTAGCAAATTGTTTGGAAGATTCCAAGCACGTTGTTGACCCTCCATTTCATTTCTTAGTGCATGTGTGTTATGATAAAATTATTAATACTTCTGATAATGTGCCATGGAATGAAGCTCGAAGAAAAATTGCAAGCACGATAGATGAAATGACTGGAAAACTCAAAAACACCAAAGACCCACAATTAGTAGTAAATGAATACAACATGAATATCATTGTAAATAAGGCTGCAGTTTCAACACGTTCTCTAATTCTGATAGTAATAGATGATAACATGTACTATAGAAGTATGAGATATCAATATTATCAAATAGCTCGGGCACATCAAATAAGTTACTGTCAATTATATCTCAAGTGTGATGTAAATATATGCCTTGCACGGAATTTTGAAAGACAAACAAATCATAAAATACCTGAAGACGTCGTACTTAAAATGGCTGGCAATATAGAGGAGCCCAATGCATGCAATAATTATTGGGAAATTAACAGTATTTGTATTAGTTCAGATAAACCTTACAATCATAATTCCCTTGATCCTTTGTATGCAATAATAATGGCAGCATTTTCTCATCCAGTGAAACCAGTTTCTGAGAATTTACATAAGGAACAGTCTCAATTCATTTGTTCTTCAAATATAATTCATCAAGCAGATTTAGCCCTTCGAAAAATTATCGGCAACATACTTAGAGAAAATACGGCTTACGATCACAAACAAATGCAGCAATTATCTACAGATTTGAAAATTAAGAAGCAAGATCTGTTACAGAAATTGAAATTGGGAGAATTACAGTTACCTAAAGAAATAATTGAAGGAACAGAAGTGAATTCAGGAGCTATATATTCTTTTCTTTCAAAGCAGATGATTTAAGAAATATTGTTAAATCTTTGAATTTTATTGAAAAACGTAATCACAATTCTACACTGCATAAGAAAGAAATATTTACAAATCATTACTTCCTTCTCTAACAATCCATGTTTAGTTGGTTACTGCATTGGCATTAGGGCAGTTAATTCTTGGTACTGAAACAAAAAGAAAATATAAATTTGTGAAAAATAAAATTGTTATATGGATAATTGGTTTAAAATGTTACCTCTTGTTCCTTCTCTAGCATTTCAGTCAGTAAATTGTCAAGGATGTCTTGAAATCTTTGTCTTAGAGCTTGATTTTCTATATTTGCTATCTCAAGTTCTTGTTGTTGACGACGATTGCGAAGATCAGCCAAATCCTTCTCCAAGGTATCAAGTCTTGCTCGTATATTTTCTACAACAATATAAAAATTTGTTTAAGTTTAGGAAAATACTAATTACCTACCAGGAGTGTAATTGGCACACACTTATTTCCACTGTGATGATTCCCTCATGCAAAACTTGCAACAACTAAAATCATTTTTACATATCAACATGTAACCAAAATTGGCTGTTGCTCCGTTGCCTCTCAGACGGCTCTTAAACACTTTCTTTCTTCTTTTACATATTAATCTGCCTCAAAATTTATCTTTCCATTGCTTTCCATGCATCCCGCGTGTTCCCCTATCCTGCTATAGCTCTGTTCTTCATCCGCCAATCCCGTACCACCTGCCTGCAAAACCTTCTCACCATAAAAGGTGGCCTCGCTAGCCATTTGGGCAGTACGCTCTGAGCATGGCCACAATTTGTTGGCCGAAACATCAGTCACCAAGACAGACGCGGCACATCTTTGATAGTCTGGAAGACACAAACTCCGGCTGCGGAAGCCTACGGAATCATAGGTATTAGTATTTGCCATTCCAACATGAATCTGATGACCATGTTAAATGTTGTGGGAAATAAGGAATTAAGTTTATATTGATGCCATGAACATTGGACTTCTTCCCACCCAAATGCCATGTGCGGATTGGGGGGTATTATTAACTGCTACTGGAAACAGACGAAACACTACTGAAAGCCAATGGTGCCCCTTGCGTCGTTTCTCATGCGGTAGTTTACGCCAACTATCTAGGGGAATATTTGTGGTGAAAAGATTGCAACAGGATGAGTAGAGATCCATTGCTATATTGCATTTTGAGACTTGTAACTTTTCTAAATAAAGTGTTGTTTTTTTAAAAACTATTTTGAACAGCCTGCAATATTTTCCTTTCTTGCTCGCATTATGTTATATTACAAGGTCATATTTATCCATCCTTTTCACGTGAATACAAATACAAGTAAGTTTTCGTAAGTTGGTAGTTGCATGGTGCAGAACGGCATGACTTGTTTGAAGGTTGGTATCAAGGCAAAAGAGGGGTACAATGCGCTGCGTTCCCCAACAATTAAAGAAAACCCCAAGGTTTTCCCCAGAACAGCTCCAATTTTTTTCTTTAAATTCTTTTATCGAAAGTAGGCTTATAAAAATGGCACAGGTTTTCATTGAACTCTCTAGATAAAGTGCTGTTGGAGCACCACTAGTTTTCTTCTAGTAAAGATTTTTTAATTATTTTAGTTTGAAAGTATATTAAGTAGTTTGGGATGGGAGTAGGGAGAGGCCGAGTGGGGATGAGGCTGTACTAGAGTAGTCCTGCATAAGCAGCAACAGCATGAATTTCTGCCAAATAAATTGTGAACAATGAATACTGTAGCAATCTTGGGGACTCGTTTGATATAAACTGAGTTAAAGTATAAACAAATTTACAATTTTTATTGAAGATATACTTATGTTCTTCCACGTTAACACGAAGAAAGTACTGGGAAGCACATTTTTGCACAACATGGGGACATTGTGCTTGCCAGCAATCTAGTAATACGATTGTGATCAATAGAGAGCAATGCCAGGTATCTTAAACAAAATAATTAACATATAAAATTCAAAGAAATTGTTTTTACTGTAAGATAATTTAATTCACTAATTAGAAATGAAGGGAGAGGTCTACTTTTGTGAAATTATTTGGCGGGGACTGTTAAGCTCGCATTATGATGGGGAGGGGTATCAAAAACACTTCAATACTGCACACAATTGAAGGGCTTGGACATAAAAGATGATAAGTAGGGGGCAATTTTTAAAGAAATGTCATTTTCTTTCTTTTCACTTTATAACAATGCCGTTTAGAATAGATATTCATTTTATGTTATGACGAAACAAAATGACCCATTTTTATGTCATTGTTTGCATTTTTCATTGATTTTGACTAATAAGTCTTTTTTAAAGTCATTTTTACTGCATTTTTTACTGATATCAATGGTACTTGCATTATAAAATATTTATGAGGTGCAACAAATGTTCACCACAGAATACCTGAGTGTCCTATTCGATTACTTCTCTCATATATTGTAAAGTCAGCCTTTGTGAGTACCACTTAATCTAAAGTTCCTGTGACATTTATTGGTGCCAATGTCAGTTCGTCCGATTTCACGATAAATAAAGGCAAAGATTTTCTTTTAAAGAACAGTCCAAACCCAAAGGTTGCACGCTGAGTTCATTTGAACAAAAGGAAGATGCCTCGATTACATCTGTAACTTATTGAATAGCTTTAGTTGTTCATCTCAAGTGGTTTTGATTAAATTTTTTGTCATTTTTTTGTTTTTGGGTCATATTAAGGGCATTTTATTGATAATTTTTGGCAGTGTTTGAGGACATCAAAATCTGCCCCCTAATGATAACCTTCTAAATTATAGATTTGGTGCCACTTAAGGATTTTTTAATGCTTTCACCTGCTACCTATGCTGTGTGATTCTCAAACAGTTAAATTCGTGGCTCAGAGGTGGCTTCCCATTTGTGGTCATTTTTATGCGTTCCACTTTAAAGCCCTTAGTGCAAAATGTTGACTTGCTTTTATCTTGACATCATTTCTGTGGCTTATCATGTTTTACACCCAAACCCTTCAATTTATCAACAACTTGATGAATTTGAAATGTTTCAAAGCTGAAATTTAAGATGTCTGAAAGCAGTGAAAGTTCCTTGAATTCTCAAGTTTTTGTCTTTTCACTATACTATAAAGTTATTTATAAATAAAGAAGTGCAACAAAAACTATGTTGACAAACCTGCAGTGAACTCTAGATTCATGAACTATTTTTCCATTTAATTTCCACTCTTGAATAGAATAAACAAAAATTGGTAGTTAAGTTTTCTACAAGATAATAAAACATTGATATCTGTGAATTTATTGCATTAGGATTCGTCCTAATAAATCATGTTCCAGAGACTGGTGAGGCCAACGAGTAACACATTAAAGATATTGCAGATCATATAACCAAACATATTTTGCCATACATTTGTAAATGCACATTACTTTAACATTGTAGGGCAAGTAGTAAAAGCATATTTATGTGAAAAGCACTCATTGTTTACTCCAAGAATCTTGACACGTGATCATAAAATTTCCATTGAAACTGGGCTGTATTCTTATAAATCTTTTACCACATACCTCGAGATATCTCAGAGCCAGAAGTGTAGTCATTATCTTCCCCAGAATTTAATTCTTGTTTGAGTAAATCAAAGTCAAAAGTAATCTCTGATTTCACATCAGACTGATATGTAGCCTGAACATCAGAATACTCATGACCTGGTTCCTCCTTCACTGGTCCCAATAATGATGAATGTCCATGTTTTGTCCTCTCTGCATAGGATGTTCGAGGATTAAACATTTCTTTTGAAAATTCAGTTACCAGATTGTGCCGATCACCTGGGGCACCCTGGAAAAAAATCGAAATAATATATATTAGGGCATTATATTCTCAAAAGATTTGCCTATTGTTCTGATGTAACGAATTGCAAATAAATATATATACTATATCTTTTTTTTAAATTTGGGCACGAAACTACAAATTATTTTATATTATTGATTAGATTTATTCTGATTTTTGTTTGACTTATTCTTATATTTTTGTATTATGAAGTATGTTTCAATGTAATTTAATAATATATAATTTAATATAATTAAACATATGAAGTCTTTAGTGTACTTGGCAAATATATGCTTGAAGGTGACTCATATGTAGACATCAGATGTTTAGGCAAATGCCCATTTTATTCCAATGAAAATATATAAAGGCAATTAATACACTCATACGAATTATTTAAAACTGAACATTCTGAAGAATTTCTATTTTGCCTTTTTTTGACATCTCTGACAAAAGCCTTTTTAGATATGTTCCTTTTTATTCTTAGTTACAAACGCAAGTTTAAATCATTTTATGTTCTACTAATCTCATAAATTTTCTACTGGTAACGAATCTCCATTGTCTTGACTGAAGCTGTCATTTGGGTTTGCAAGTCACTGAATTTTTGGAACCACATTGTGACTTCAGATTTCGTTTTTCTTTGCACAAATAAAATAAAATAAAAAATGGTGGTCTCTGGGCACTCGGTTGAGGGAGGTTGCGTGGCTGCTGAACTCTGATTCGCGACATAATCAAAGTACTCGAGTCACAGAGGGCAAGGCAATGATCTCCACGTCCGACACTGATATCTTTCCGTGCCAGAAATTCTTCTGGGAAGTGCGCAGTGTAAGCCCATCTCTGCCAGGTGTGATGTGCGTCTTCATTGTGCCCACAGTTGCCCGAGTTGAACTCCATGCAAAGTATTTCATCATTGCCTCTAGAGCACTAACCAAGCTCAATGCTGTAAAAATGCCAAAGTCTCTCACTCACTAATGATTCATTAATAGTCTATTCTCTCATGTTATATTGTTTTATGGTATTGGCTTATTTGAGATGCAAGTGCAGTGAAATATATTCCTATTTTTTTCCTCAAAATTTGAATATTTAATGCTTTTTTCGGTGCCTGTTTAAAAAAATTGTAGTGCCTTAACATCCGATGTCTACTCATGAGGATACACATGACCAATATCAGACATTTTTTGGAATTCACTTTCAGTTAGACATCCCTACTTTAGTTCAGATAGTAGAAAGTGTATGAGAAGAGCAACAATAACAAAAATGAAAGAAAGAAAACAGAAGAAACCCAAAGCATTTTAGTTATGAAGAATGGTAATCATAGTTAATATAGTATAAATCTAAAAATAAAGTATGAAATAGACAAAAAATGATCGAAACTTGCCTTTGTAAATAAAAAGTCAAGTAATCAAAAAACAATTACACAGCACTATCATATAGCATAAAACATGAGGCATAACGTAAATTTGAATATTTATTATTTAATGGTGCACTTGAAAATGGATAGCAAACTACACCCAAAATGCATTTGTTGAGTGTTGCTGAATGAAGGAAATCCCCCACCCCACTACCAAAAAATTTTTCACCCGTATTTTCACGCAAAATTATGCGTATTAAATTTTCGAAAAATCTATCATGACCGTATTTTAGAATCTATCTTTAAGGAGCAGGTTTCATTAAGGGAAAAACATATCTACCTCCAATAATTTAGTTGAAGGAACATTCCGACAAAAATGTGAACTTTTGCAATTTTCGAAAAAATCAGGGTTTTTAACGAACATGAGATTTGTACCATTCTCTTAAACATCCTTCACAATAACAAAAATATGTCATAATATGACGTAAAGTTCATTTTGGAGTATTGTTTTGTTTTTTCAAAAAATATACAAATGTAATTTTTTTGAAAGATTTCACAAGCTGTTATTGCGCACATGTTCAGCAATTTGTCATCATTATTGTTTTTAAGAGTTTGCTTCAAATGAAGTTTTTTCGAAAACACAAAAAAATTTCGTGAAAAAGAGTTTCGAATTTACAGTAGTGCTTAAACATCATTTTCTTAAAATGGTCTCACGTTTTTTCAAAGAAAATTTGCTATTTAGTACGATGTTTTACTGTTCTTTAATATTCTTAAAATAATATTTCTACCATTAGGAAACCGAAAAATTAAGAAAAAAAAAATGAACTTGGGCGAACATAGAACGCAGCTGGCAAGACGAATAGACCGAGACCAAAAGAAATAGAAAACAAATACGGGAAAGTCTGTGCCATTTTGTTCCACCACTTTGCTATTCTCCTAGTCCGAGTCAGGGAGGGTGCGAGCGATAATGATTCTGTAAGTTGTTCCTGAACAACTTACAGAATACATTAAATCCATTGTTATACGTGGAGATTTCAATACTATGTGGAACCTTTCCATTAAGATAAGAGAGATGGAAAATGTGTGATTTTGCAGCTTTTGTTATGGCCTTTTATATGATCTACAACTAAACAGGGGTTGAGTTAAAAAAAGGTTTTCAAAATTTAATTTCAAATTCTGAATGGGTTTTTCTAAATGCACCTCCTCCAAAAAATTAAAAAATCTCTAAAATAATCCATACATTAGCCAAACATGGTGAAAGTTTAAACATTGGACTGCAGTGGGTTCAAATTAAAATCTGCATATGTATGTATACACCCTTGCGTAGCATGTTTTTGTCGGGTCCATTATTCGACCTAATTGTCGAACGGTATGAGAGCTGATACTCGTCACTGATAAATCATAAATGCGAAAACAATTGGGGTCAAGAGTTTGGGACTCCGCAAACGAACGTCCCGCTGACGACAGGAAACTGGGTCTTCCACCTGGGCGCTGTCGTGGACCATCCGTCCATTCGTCAAGAGTCTCAGTCATCCGTCGTGAACCATTCGTCAAGAGTCTGGTTCACCGATACCGCCACGGGCAACCTTTATGCAGTTGGTCGCCGGGAACTTTGAAGGCGTCACCGATTACTGCACTTTGGGAGAAGGAAATTGATGACTAGTATTACGACGAACTGCTGCTCTATTTAGACTCTCCAAATCCCACGATTCTAAGATATTTGTACAGAAAATTCTGATAAAATTTAAAAGTTAAAACTTGCGAAGCTGCGCTTTGGCTCGGCGAATTTTTAAATTAAATTCGTGTAATTTCTTTTCTATAGCAAAAAATTATTTCTTCCTTTTTTAATATTAAATTTTAATAATAAATTTAATATTATTGTTATAATTTCATATGAGTATTTTGTTTCGACGCAATTCCTTCCGAGCACTAAAAGCAGGCCGAGCTGAGCTAGCTGACATGAGGCGCCACGTATTCTCTAAACTTCTCCCTAAGCTCATAATATCTAGAATAATTAGAGGGATTAACGGTTTTGAATCACGTTTCCGAACTGGCATTTTATATGTATGGCCTATGTGTGCTTTAAAGCCCCTTCTTTCAGTGCGAGGAAGGCCAGTCAAAAGTCGATCTTATCTCCTGATTACACTACCGATCGTTACATTGGCCTACTATTGTTTTGTCGATGGTGTAAGAAAACCACCCATCCTGTGAAACTTCTAACTTGAATACTGACAACAGTTCTTTACAACGTAGAATAAGCAGGAGTTACCTCCGTTACTGATGGAACCTCAACAAACTCAATTTCTCCGCTGAACAAATCAGAAGACACGACCTATGAATAGCGATATCAACAGCACTCCTCTAAATTGACAGGCGAACTTAAATTTATTTATCTGCCGTTTAATTGTCAATAATTTTTCAAAGATTTATTCTCTTGTAAAATGTAAGTATCACTTCAAATTCCAGTATTACGTTGCGTCCATTATCGTTATCATCCTGCATTGTTCATGCACCCTAACATTCATCCCGCTCCATGCAGGTGCAGAATTTGTAAACCAGGTAAACAACCAAACACCTCCCTGACAGAATTGCTGGCCGAGCAAACTGAGGCCGAGAGGCTATAATATTTAGAGGGGCACAACAATTAATATATTGATTCTTCTTTGGCATTATCTTTTCAATTAATTAAATACAGTTATTGTGTTGTAAAATAAGGTTATTGTGAATTGAACATGGTGAGACCTAGGCCGAGGCCTGCTCCAAGCAAATTTTCCTTCGCTCCTTTCACCAACTAGCACAGAAAGGAGGTATTTCTTGAGCGACTAAACAAGCTATTTGAACCTAGCTCAGAAGCTTCGTTTAGGAAACTTTTTTACTTTGTTTTTAATATTTTTAATGTAAAATTGTTTTAATATCTTTTTAAAAGCTTAGTGATAATATTCCAAATGAACTCTCTGGGTGCAGCAAAGACAGCTGGCAACTGAACGAAACAGAGAAAGAGAGAGATCGTAATCCATTTTACTGAGAATGATGCAACCTACCCTGCATCTACTCCCCCCTTTCGTTGCAGGGTGACTGGTGAGGTGGGTAGGGCATCACTATGTGCAGGTCGGTCTGCGAATATGTTCCACAAAAACTTTTGAACCAAAGAAGCACTTGCTCCAAATTTTGCATGAACCCTTAAGCAACCAAATTAAAACACCCGCAAAGAAGAGTTGCGATCCAAAAATGTACCCCAAATACAACACATGATATTTGGAAATTATGAAATGTATAGCATCTTGTACAAGTTCCCACATAACACAGGGTAATCCTAAACAGATTTGGCTTCACCTGTACACAAAGTATTTGACAACCATTTGATTGACAAGGATCCAATGACAATCAACAATTCAATATTAAAACCTTTGAACACTAATTTATCAGGACAGAGTTTTGGGCTATATTTTTCATAGCCTGTCTCATTTATTTTTATTTTTCTTTTCAATTATCAAAATGACAAAATACCAACCTGCAAAGATGTTGAGTCTGATAATCTACTGTCATCGGCAGAAATACGACTGGTCTCTTCTTCAAGTTCCAATACATTAATATTGGTCTCTTCCTCTTCTTCAGAATCGCTTACAGCCTCACCAAAAATTTCTCGTTCAACTGCAAAACGCACAATTGTAGTACTAATACTTACAATAATTAGGATAACAATGATATCAGCAAACTTTTTCATATAATCAGGAATGTGAAAAGCTAAGAAACAAGCTGGGATGGTTAGCAAAATAAAGAAATTCTGAACGGTCAAGGAAGAACCTAACCAAATTACCGTTGGTGATAATAATGGAAATATTTCTTTGATTTCTATGATATATAAATTGATAATGGTGAATTTCTTTTTTGTCACATACAGTTGTTAATGATAATTGAAATAAATAAACCAATAAACGTTAGTAAAGTTTTGTTACCAGGCCAAAATTAAGCTTAGTATGTCATCCAAAAATTTTTCAAAAGTAACTACTAAGAATTTCCTGTTGTCCAACGTGATCATGCAAAATAATGTTTTTAACCAAGGAACATTTGTATTTGAGAGCAATGCAACTATGGCCACATCATTCTTAAAATATCTTTTGCATTTTAAAAGGATGGGATTAAGGAAAACGCAGAACTGACTGTTGGTCTCAAATAATCTTAGATCAAGGATATTATATATACAAGTTTATCGAGTGCCATTGAGAGTAAAAGAAGCAAGAACAAAAACCAAATACTACAGAAATTTGTTTGCAAGACGTATACTGATAATGCGAAGTTTTGCAATTTATTTATAACTAGCGCTCAAAGAATGAAAGTGATATCAAGAACACATATCAGATCAATAATGATTCGGATGCCAGCATGTAAGCAAAATATGCTTTCCTGGAGTCATCAGGTCTACTCCAAGCATCTTAATCACTATCAGTTGTTGAGGGTCATAACATAGAAAAAACTTGTGTCCAAGGTCCTCGACAACAGGTTCACACACAGCATAGTGCAGTGTATCTTCCACTCTGATTTGTGTTATTTAGGGGGAAAAAAAGTAAAAACTGAAAGTGGCATTGAAACACAAATAAAAGTTAAAAATAAATAATAATAACATTAATGATAATACCAAATAAAATGAAAAAGCAAAAGTTTAGAAATATTTAAAAAAGTTTAAATGCTCCTAAGACATAGAAAACTTATTTGCATTGGTAAACAAACTGCAGATTTGACTTTTGTACTATTAACAAAATAGTAAAACATCCATGGATCTACTCCTACCACTACCAGCAAAAAGAGAACATGCTCAACAAAGCATGTGGATAGTGAATCTACATTTATGTCCAGAAGCAAAACAAGGGTTCATCTTAGCATTTGCTCATTGGATCAAGGAAACTGGACAAAATCCTGATCAAAATGGGTGTCACTGACCCAGAAGTTGAAGAACATTACTTGCTACCAGCATATTAAGTTTCTTTAAAAATTATATAGTACAAATATAAACTAATAATATTATTTTTCTTTTTGAAGGTCAGTATAGTCTCTAACAGTATAAAACAGTTATGCAGCAGAAAAGATTTTACTTTTAACTTGCATAGTGAAACAACTTTAAATGGTTACTGTGATCTATATATGAATCAGTGGTTTTTGTCAAAAATGACTTACTTAATGGTCGGAATATATTTTCAGCAAATGCCGTTGTCTATAAATACAACACTTGATTTGGTAATCATATTCATCAGGTGACAGTATCAACAGCTCACTACAAAACATTAGCATATAATACACATACATTACTTTCCAACACTTTGCCAAATGACAATAAATGATTAAATTTGATACAAAAGTTTAAGTCCCAAGTAAAATCTTTTCTGCTACACAACTGTTTCTATACAATTAGAGACTATACTCAGCAACCAAAAGAAAAGTAATATTCATTTTTAAAATGACATTTAATGTATTATATATCATTTGGATTGTATAATTGTAAAGAACTTGTTACAAGTATTGTACTTCGGCTTCTGGGTCAATGACCCCCATCTCGATCAGGTTTTCGTCCAGTTTCCCTGATTCACGAGCAAATTCTGAGATGGCTCCTTGTTTTGCTTCTGGGCATAAATGTAACTTCAAGTTAACTTCTCCCCATAGCATGTCATACACATTTTTAACAATTTTTGACATAAATAAATAAATCTAGCAATGTGTTGTTACGTAACGTACATGTATTACATGTGGATTTTTTGTAGGAAGCTGTTGATACTGACACCTGCTGAATGTGATTGCTCTGACATGTGTTGAAATTATAAATATAAGTATTGCATGAAAATATGTGCCCAGCATACGGAGTAATATACGTAATGTAGGGAATGTTATGTATTACTGCGGAAAATGGACTTGGAGATGTTAACGGCAATACACAATTGGGGTCCCCTGGTTCTGAAAATGTGGTTCTTTTCGAAACGCCCGTCTGTATGTGAACAACACTAACTCCTAAACCATTCGTGCAATTTTTTTCAACATGGATATTCCCCGATCGATTTAGCTCCACTCGAGGCGCGACGATTTTTTAAAACGTCCTTTAAAATTTGGGGGTACTTCACATGAAGCCCCCACGATGTCGCGATTTGCCATTCCGGCCCTAGCGACACGCTGCGGCCGGCGAGTGACCCAGATGCCACTTGCAGACGCCAGCGTTCCGAGGCTATAAAATGGCGAGGGTTTCACCGCCCCTCTCATTACGTGTCAACCTGCCGGAGCCAGACGTCGTCCGCCACTCACTCCCAAGACGATGGGTCCACTACGTGGGTGAGTATAGTAGACATCTTTAAAAGATACTCTACTTTCCCCCAGCACGAGTTGCTAGGGGTACTCCCTCTCCCCCTCAACTCGCGACAATGGTGTCTGGCGGGGTTTTTACGAACCCCACATTATTATTTATAATTGAATCAAGCCCGCTTCATCAGATTTTTCTCCTTTTTCAATTTTTTTGTTTTATTATTTTTTTTTATCTTTTCTAAATGCATCGCAGTAATTGACGTAGATTATTTTAGCGGACCTTCTTTCAATCGTGTAGCCACGGCAGACACATGCGTTCCAAGGTTGGAACAAGGATGCTGGGTGCCCAAGACGAAGTTAATGGAAATGCAACCTTCCCGTCAGTTTCCTATTTTACAAGCCTCCCACCCTTTAAATGAAGCTACGAGTTATCCGCCCGAATTCAGTCACCCGTCAGGACGCACCCATCCTGTCACACAGCACCGCGCAGAATTTCCGCCTCAGCACTTTTCGCCGGCGTCAGCATCTCTTTGGGGCAACGTACGTACTGTGACGTCATGGATACTCACAGCGACCACAGACACAGAGCTTTCGTATAACAAATATATTT